CCTCTGTCAGATATGGGGTTGGTGAATATCTTTTCCCATTCTGCGTACTGTTGTTTCATCTTGCTGACTGTGTCCTTTGCCTTGCAGAAGCTTCTCAGTTTCAGAAGGTCCCATTTATTAATTGTCAATCTCAGTGTCTGTGATACTGGTGTTATGTTCAGGAAGCAGTCTCCTATACCAATTCATTCAAGGGTATTTCCCACCTTCTCTTCCAAGAGGTTCAGTTGGCTGGATTGATGTTGAAGTCTTTGGTCCATTTGGACTTAAGTTTTGTGCATGGTGATAGATATGGATCTATCTGCTGTCTTTTACATGCCAGCATCCAGTTACTCTAGCACGATTTGTTGAAGATGCTTTCTTTTATCCATTGTATAGTTTTAGCTTCTTTGTCAAAAATCAGGTATTCAAAGGGGTGTGGGTTGATATCAGGGTCTTTGGAACCTTCTCTAAAATAGACCACATAGTTGGAAATATAGCAAACCTCCACAGATACAAAAAAAATCAAAATAACCCCCTGTATCTTATCAGACCACCATGCTTTAAAATTAGAATTCAACAACAACACAAATCGCAGAAATCCTACAAACTCTTAAATTAACCCTCCATCTTTTTCTATTTTTGTATATTTTTCATTCTTTCTTTCTTAGTGTGCTGCTGGCTGTGTAACTGGGTGGCTGGCCCCTTGAGTCCTCCCCCTCCTTCTCTCACTCCTCAATCTTTTTCTCCCAGATACTCCTCCTATTCATTCTTTCTGCCTGCCAGCCCCACCTATCCTTTCTCCTGCCTTGCTATTTTCCATAAACAGCATAAACAAAGGTAAGGCATCTTAAAATGATATTCAACAACAGCATGTAGCATATCTGCAGTTCTGTGCCACATGACTGGGCTATAGGGTTCCTGGTACAGAGGGTCTGTGATCTAAAGAATCCGAAAAGAAGGAAGAGGTACTAGGAAGAGGCCATGGTCCCTGGGAAGCAACTACAGACTTATCAGTATTGGGAGACCAGTACTCCAGAAAGTTAGAAATATATATATATATGTATATATATATATATATATATATATATATATCCAGAACACCAGGATAAGTTAATACATTCATAGTGGTCCCCTGGAGAGGGAGAGTGTCTAGAAGATCAGCATCCCTGGCAAGCAGCTGTGGAGTGAGCAGAGTGGAGAGGTGCTGTGGTTGGGAATACAGATCTAGAATACATTTATTTATATATTTATTTGTTTGTTTGTTTGTTTAAAATCTTCATGTCTTTATACACTGTAGCTTGATAATATTCACTCCCAAATCCCTTCTACTCATTTTCCCAGGACACCCTCCCAACCATTGGCTCCCATTTTCTTGTCCTTTCTGTTTTTTGTTTTTGTTGTTGTCATTGTTGATTTGTTTGGTTTTCCTTGTTGTTCTTTAAAACCTCTGAATCCAGTTAGTGCTGCCTGATAGAATAATGGCTGACTTTGTTTGGTTGTGCAATTCATGCACAAACAGCTGCATCTGTAGTGAGTGCATGAGCACAACAGTCATGTAACATCCAGAAAAACACACATTACAGCACTCTTTCCTGTCCTCCAGCTCTTTCATTCTTTCTTCCACCTCTTTTACAGTGTTCCCAGAGCCTTCATGACCCCACTTAGATATCCCACTTAGAGCCAAGCACTCAACTGATGCCTAATCAGCATTTTGACTGTGCATCTCTATATTAATTGTGGCCCACTGCAGAGAGAAGCTTCTCTGGCCAAGGTTGAATGTATAGAGAAATCCAACAGAGCTTTGCAGCTGACTTGAGTTCCAGAATGCTAGCACGTGAGCATTAAACTGCCTTTTGTGACTGTTACTTCTGAAATGGCTACCTTCAGTTTGAAGTGTTTGAATCTTACCTGATATCTTCCTAAAGAATTCAAAGTCTCTACAAAACTTGGTTGTCAGAGAACTTGGAAAACCAAGATGCCATGTGACTGAGAAGTCTTTGAATTGCTTCCTTAGGGGAACTTCAGACAAGAGGTTTTAGTATGAGGAAGTTGACTTGCTAGGGTGTAAATTGCATAACAACTAAAAAAAAAGGTCTTTTGCCAAGTAATTGTAGTCAGTTCACCATAAACTGGCTCCCCTGCTACTTCTTCTTTTTTTTTTTTTTGTTTTTTGAGACAGAGTTTCTCTGTATTGTTTTGGAGGCTGTCTTGGAACTCCTCAATCTGTAGACTAGGCTGGCCTCCAACTCACAGAGATCCGCCTGCCTCTGCCTCAGAGTGCTGGGATGAGAGGCGTGCGCCACCAATGCCCGGCTTCCCCTGCTACTTCTAAGACAAAATTCACCCTGGAGTGACCTTATTTCTTCCACAGTTCTGCATGAAACCAAACACCTACAGTTTAGAGAAGCATTAATCTATGGGTATAAGCATAAATATTCAGAAGGCAGTTTAACAATATACCCATTTAGCAAAATAGCACTAGATCTTTCCCTAAGGGTTATAACCTCCTGAGCATGGGTTTTAGACCAAGTTTACAGGCATTAATTCTCTCCGGTTAAATTCAAATCTAATTAGAAATAACTCAAATCTAATAAGGAGGTAGATGGCTACCCTATGACTTGCATGTCATTATTGCAGCTGTGAGCAAGTCTCACTTGGCAGGTCAATATTGCAGCATTCATGGTCACCATTAGGTAATATCATTGTGGATTTCTCCCCCAGTATCCTCATAGTATCTGCTAGTTACCCAGCATGGAAGAAGCTTCATGTCTGTTCCAGCTTGGAGTCTCTAATTCCTGTAACAAAAGTATGTTGTGTCTTCAGCAAGAGGGTCTTAACTCTAGTTCCAGTAGACTACCAAGAGCAGCAGCAACAGGCTTTGTTGTTTTGGAGTCTCTGCATCCTCCCTAAAGAGTACTTCTTAGGGAGGGACTCCATGTTTGGCATTGGGATTTCTCTTTAATAACTCATGTCACAGGAAGAAAACACAGTGCATTCATTACTCACTAGCCTACATTTACTTAATTTATAGTTTGGTTAAGTTACAAAGTGGTGTGTTTCCATAGAATCTATCATACATTGTTAGTTTTGGTTTACCCATGGCCACCCACTCCTCTCCCCTGTCACACAATCTCTATCCTCACTTCAACCTTGCACCACTTAAACCTAACTTAAACAATTTTTCAGCATAAGGTTTCTACTCTGTCTGCAACCCTTAAGGCCTTTTAGACTTCACCTCACTTTGATTCACATGGTCACATTTCTAGATAAAAAGCTACAGGCAATTAATGGCTATTAACAGAGGAAGACTCAGTCTTCTCCAGAGATGAGTCCTTCATAGGTTATCTAGTCCCAAGGGGGTCAACATTAAATATGTAACAGCAACACTAAATAGACTCTGCACAGTGTGTGTGTGTGTGTTATGTATGTATGTAATGATCATTAAAGAAGAAACTGAGTTTGAGAGGGAAGGAGGGGACACAGGAGGAGTTGAAAGGGAGACTAAGAATGGTGGAAATGATGAAATATGGTATGGAGAGAAAATTCTCAAAATTTAACCTAAAATAATCTTTAAAAATAACAAATTAAACATACTAGTCAAAATAAATTGATCATATACATAATATATAATCATATGTCATATGATCCACATATGACAGAAAATATAGCATCTGTCTCTCTGGGCATGACTACTTCACTAAATAGGATATGTTCCATTTCTATCCATTTTCCGTGGAGTTTTTATTGGCTTTTTCTTCTTTCTATGTGTATATGTATGATATGCATACATGTGTGTGTGCATGTTTGCATGTTGGGACATACATATATGGGGGCCTATTGTGTGTGCTTGTGTGTACCCTGAATTGATATCTGCAATCTTCCTCAGTTGCTCTCATATTCTTTGAGGCTGAGAATCTCAACCATTCCCAGAGTTTGTCCATAAAGCAAGTCTAACTAGCCACCCTGCTCTGTGGATCCCCTGACTCAACTTTCTGAGCATGGAATAGCAGGGGCCAAAATTAAAATGCATCATGTACAGGCGATCTTGGAATCCAAATCTAGTCCACGTGCTTTTTTGTCAGACTCATTAAATTGCTGCCCCAGATGCTTTAAAGTGTGACCAAAGTGAAAAGGATTTAGATGTGTGCAAGGCAACACGTACCTCCCAGCTGGAAGACCTTAGACAGCACAGCCTGGGAAGAGCTGAGCCCTCTCTTGGCGCCTGAGAAGACATGGCCTGAGCCAGGCAGACCTTGGCCACAGACATCAGTGAGCAACCTACTGCACTCAGGAGATGTTAGATGTCCTACAGAAGACAATGAGAGCAGATCTATAGATCTTGATTTCACAGACAATTTGGCCCTAAAGCCAGTCTCTCAAGGGCTAATTGTGTAAACTGATGCTACACTCTGTGCTATCACCAAATTTTCTCCAACACCTTCGCCAAGGCAGGACAGACAGCTGTGTTGTACTTTTGGCAACTGGCAGGAGCTGAGGGATGAACTTGGATTCTGGTCAATGGGGTATCCTCCTATCTGTCTTATCCTGAGTTCCTTCCAAAGAAGATGATGAGATGAGGCTTGTATTCAGGTACAAAACTGAAAATAAGACTCCAAAGCTGCACTTGCCGGAGGAGCAAGGTGTAGGGCAAGACAGAGGAAGGCAGCAAAGTGTGCTGTGGTATATGGAAGAGCAGGTTACATCAAGAGCAAATGTGTTAGCTTGTTTTCCATTGGCAGGACAAGAAACAGAGACGGGTAACTTTTGTTATTCTTGTTTGCTTGTTTGTTTGTTTGTTTGTTTGTTTGTTTGACTGACTGACTGACTGAGTGTAGCCTAGGATGTTTCCAAACTCACCATATGAAAATGCTGGCCCTGAGCTCCTAATTCTTCTGATTCTCCCTTCTGAGTGATGAATTGCAGGACTATAGGACCATTCTAACTAGTTTTTGTTTGGTTGGTTGTTTCGTTGGTTGTTTGGTTTTTGTTTGTGTTTTTAGAATTTGTCTATTTAATTATAGCTCTGAAGTCTGGAAATCCAAGAGCAAAGACTACAACTGCTCTGCTTAAGAAAAGAGCACTAGGGGAAGGCCCAAGCTTCAGGCCTGGAGCAGCAGTGCCAGAGGGAGGCTGGAGCTTAAGGCCCGGAGTAGCATCAAGGGAGACACTAGCCTCATACGTGAGAGCAGCATCAGAGCCTGGAAGCAGTCTCAGTGGGAGACCAGAGCTTCAGGCCTGGAGCAGAGTCAGGGAGAGAGCCGAATCTCAGCCTGGAAGCAGTGTCAGAGAAAGACTGGAGCTTCAGGCCTGGAGCAGCATCAAAGGAGCCACAAGCCTCAGACCCAGGAGCAGAGTCAGAGGTAAGTTTGAACTTCAGGCCCCAAGCAGCATCAGAGGGAGACCAGAGCTTCAGGCCCAGAGCAGTGTTGTGGCAGGTCCAAATCCCAGCCCAGAAGCAGCAGCAGAGGGAGGCCCCAGCCTCAGGCCAAGGAGCAAGGTGTGATCACTGGGTGAAGCAACAGCAATGTTTTCCAGCAGTAGCTTCCAGAAATGATTGCAAAAAGTTCCTCTAGGAAAGAGCACCTATGTCCCAGCCAGCATCCTCTGGCATTTCTTGGTGGGAGATACCCCAATACTACATTGACTACTGGACCCTCAGCGCCATCTACACTTCCAACAGGAAGAGCATCCACCAGAGCTGTAACCCCATCTGTACCCCCAGGAGTGACCACCTGAGCATTGGGCCCACTACCCCCAGGAACATCATTCACCAGAAGCTCTGCTCTTCTTGTGCCTGATTAAGAGAAGAACGAAGCCACAGCCCCCAACTATACCAATTGGAGAAAGAAAGAATCCCTGAATCACAAGATCAACTTACACTTATTAGAGGAAGAGATGGGTAGACAACAAGGTAAGAACATACTTAACAATATAAAGAGCAATAACTAGTGGTGCTACAACAGCAAAACCCAATACAAATGAAGTAGATGAAAATTACCTAAAAATAACTTTAGGAGGATGATTGAGGCCCTTAAAGAGGAAATTAAAATTCTCTTAAAGAAATGGAGGAAAAGACAAAATAACTGGAAGATATCAGCAAATCCCTTAAAGAAAACCAAGAAAGAGCAATCAAACAAGTAAACGATTCAAGACATGAAATCTGAAATGGAGGCAATAAATAAAACACAAACCAAGGGAATTCTGGAAATGGATAATCTGGGTAAATGAAAGGACCCACAAATGCAAGCATAAACAACAGAATATAATAGATGGAAGAGACAATTTCAGGCAATGAGAATAATTTGGAGGAAATAAATTTATCAGTCAAAGAAATGTTTAAATCCAACAAATTCTTAACACAAAACATGCAAGAAATCTAGGACCCAATGAAATCCCTGAACCTAACAGTAATGGGAATAGAAGAAGGAGAAGAAGTTCAACTCAAAGGCATGGAAAATATATTTAACAAAATCATAGAAGAAAACGTCCCCAACCTAAAGAAGTACATTCCAGTGAAAATACAAGAGGCATACAGAACACCAAATAGACTGGACCCCCAAAAAATCAAAACAATAAACATACAGAATAAAAAAAAGTATTAAAAGCGGCAAAGGAAAAAGGCCAGGTAACATATAAAGGCAGACCTATCAGAAATACACCTGACTTCTCAATGGAAACAAGTCAGAAGGTCCTTCTTATCTGTTATGCAAATACTAAGCAACCACGGATGCCAGCCCAGACTTCTTTACCCAGCAAAGCTTTCAATAACCATAGATGGAGAAAACAAGATATTCCATGATAAAAACAAATTTAAACAATATGTAACCACAAACCCAGCCCTATAGGAAGTACTAGAAGGAAAATGCCAACCCAAGGAAATCACCTATGTCCACAAGAACACAGAAACCCCAAAGCAGCAAACCCCAAAGAAGGGAATTGAACACACAATGCCATCACCAACAACAAAAACAAAAATAACAGGAACTAGCAATCACTGGTCATTAATATCCATTAATATAAATGGTCTTAATTCACCTATAAAAACACACAAGCTAACAAATTGAATACAAAAACAAAACCCATCCTTCTGCTGTATACAAGAAACACAGACAGATTCTACCTCCAAGTAAAAGGTTGGGAAAAGATTTTCCAATCAAATGAACCTAAGAAACATGCTGGTGTAGCTATCCTTATATCTAACAAATTAGACTTCAAACTAAAATTAATCAAAAGAGATGAAGGTCATTTCATATCCATCACAGGAAAAGTCCATCAAGATGTAGTCTCAATTCTGAACATCTATGCACCAAATACAAAGGCACCCACATTCTTTAGGAAACATTTCTAAAACTCAAATCACAGATAAACCCCACACACTTATAGGGGGAGACTTCAACACCCCAATTCTCACCACTGGACAGATCTACCAGACAGAAGCTTAACAAAGAAATAAGGGAACTAACAGAGGTTATGACATCTATAGAACATTCCACACAAACACAAAAGAATATACTTTCTTTTCAGCACCTGATAGAATACATCACATACTCAGTACCTCAACAGATACAAAAAAATTGGAATAAACCCCTGTATCCTATCAGCTTAACGTTAGAATTCAACAGCAAAATTAATTTCAGAAAGCCCACAAACACATGGAAATTGAACAATGATCAACTGAACCGCCACTGGGTCAAGGAAGAAATAAAGAAAGAAATAAAAGACTTCCTAAAATTTAATGAAAATGATTGCACAACATACCCAAACTTATGGGACACAATGAAAGCAGTGCTGAGAGGAAAATTCATAGCACTAAATGCCTACATAAAAAGCTGGAAAAATCTCACCCTAGTGAATTAACAGAACTGAAAGCACTAGAACAAAAAGAAGCAAACTCACCCCGAAGGAGCAGATAGCATCCCACCTACCGTCATACCCTTCTCCAACAGCCATAATAAGCAGAAGCTGCGTGTCAGGGCTGAGGATGAGTTCCCTGATCTAACCAGCCATAACAACCATATGGCCAAGTTGCTGACCCCCGAGCTGTACGCCGAGCTCTGTGCCAAGTGCATGCCAAGCGGCTTTACATTGGACCACGCCATTCAGACTGGCATAGACATTCCCGGCCACCCGTACATCATGCCGGTGGGTGCGTTGGCAGGCGAAGAGGAGTGTTCAAGGACCACCTCTTTGACCCCATCGTTAAGGACCGGCACGGCAGCTACCAGTCCTCCAGCGATGAGCACAAGACCGACCTCAATCCAGACATCCTTCAGGGCTGTAATGACCTGGACCCCAACTATGTGCTGAGCTCAAGCGTGCACAGAGGTCGCACCATTCATGGCTTCTTTCTCCCACCTCCCGCCCCCATCCCACACTGCAGTCACGGGGCACGAGAAGCTGGCAATAGAAGTTCAGTCTGAACAGAGACTTGTGGGGCAGGTACCACGCGCTCAAGAGTATGACAGAAGCAGAGCAACAGCAACTCATTGACGACCACTTCCTCTTCGTCAAGCCTGTGCTGCCTCTGCTGCTGGTCTCCGGCATGGCCTCTGACTGGCCGGATGCTCGCAGCATATGACACAATGATAACAAGACTTTCCTGGTGTGGGTCAACGAGGAGAACCATCTGCCGGTCATCTCCATGCAGAAGCGGAGCAACAAGAAGGAAGTGTTCACCCAATTCTGCGCTGGCCTCACCCAGATTTAAACTCTCTTCGAGTCTAAGAACTACGGGTTCATGTGGAACCCTCACCTGGACTACATCCTCACGTGTCCATCCAACCTGGGCACCAGACTGCCGGCAGGTGTGCACATCAAGCTGTCCCACCAGGGAAGCACGAGAAGTTCTCGGAGGTGCTCAAACGATTGCAGTTTCAGAAGCGAGGCACAGGTGATGTGGACACCGCTGTGGTCACCATGCCTCCGACTCGGACCACTTGGACTTCTCAGAGATGAAGCTGGTGCAAATGGTGGTGGATGGAGTGAAGCTACTCATTGAGATGGAAGAGAGGCTTGAGCAGGGTCAGGCTATCGATGCCTGCCCAGAAGTGAAGCCTGGCCCTCACCCCACCGCCTGCTGCTTCCTAGCTTAATACCCTGGCAGTGCCTGCCATGCATCCCTGGTGGCTGAGCCCTTCGCCTTGCTGTAGAGACTTCTGTAGCCCTGGGTAGAGTTCATTTTTTTCTTGGCTAAGCTGTTGCTGACACTGAAATAAACTAGGGTTTGGCCTGCTCTGTCTCTTGAAAAAAAAATGGGTTACAGATCTAAACAGAGAATTCTTAAGGAAATGCTCAACATCCTTGATCATCAGGGAAATGCAAATCAAAACCACTTTGAATTTCTATCTTACACCTGACAGAATGGCTAAGATCAAAAACACCAATGACTTCTTATGCTGGAGAGGATGTGGAGAAAGGGGAACACTTCTCCATTGCTGGTGGAAGTGGCAAACTTGTATAGCAGCTGTGGAAATCAGTATGGTGATTTCTCAGAAAATTAGGGATCAACTACCTCAAGATCTTGCAATACCACTCTTGGGCATATATCCAAAAGAAGTACATTCACACCATGAGGACATTTGCTCAACTATGTTCATAGCAACATTATTTGTAATAGTCAGATCTTGGAAACAGCCTAGATGCCCCTCACCTGAAGAATGGATAAAGAAAATGTGGTATATTTACACAACGGAGTACTACTCAGCAGTAAGAAACAATGACATCCTAAAATTCTCAGGCAAATGAACAGAACTAGAAAAAAACATCCTGAGTGAGGTAACCCAAAACCAGAAAGACAAATATAGTATGTACTCACTCATAAGTGGAAACCATACATAAAACAGGAGATACCCAGCCTGCAATTCACAACCCCAGAGAAGCTAGAACCCTCTTCCAGAAACAAATGGAAGCAGATGCAGAAATCCACAATTAACCAATGGGCCAAGTTCCTGGAGTAAAACAGAAGTGAGAGAAGAATGATAATATGAACAAAGGAGTTACAACTATGATGGGAGAACCCATAGAATCAGGTGACCTGAGCTAGTGAGAGAGCACTGACTCAGGTCTGACAAATGGGGAACCTGCCTAAGACCGAACTAGACTCCCTTAATATAGGTGACAATGGTGTGACTGGGACAATATATGAGGTCAATGGCAGTGGGTCCAAAATCAAACGCTAAGGCACAAACTGACTTAGTGGAGTCCATTCTATATAGAGAGATATCCAGCCTAGACACAGGGGTGTGGGGGTGGAGAGGTGCCTTGGTCCTGCCTCAACGAGATGATGGGACAGACTTAGTAGACTTCCTAAAGAGGCCTTACCCTCTCTGAAGAGCAGAGGGGAGGAAGGAGGGAGTGGAAGAGGAGAGAAGGGACAGAAAACTTGGATTGGGATGTAAAAATAAATTAATACAAAAAAAAGAAAACAAAAAAAGTATACAAGCAAGCAGGGGCCTGCAGAAGAGAACGGGAACCCTTTCCAGTAACAGCTTGCCCGTTGCTAGAAAAAAAACTATTGATCAGTTAATAAGGGGACTGCCCCCATAACTTAAAATACCCACACTAGACCCTTTTCCCCATACTGCTACAATGGCAAGTGAGTTTCAACACTATTTTCATCATAAGTTTCAGTGGACACTAAAATCATCCAGACAGTAGCCACAAACAAGGCTTATTGTTACTGATGATATCTGGAAGATAGTACAAAATATGCCTGAGATTTCCAGGCTTGGGAACAGGTGACTAAGGCATCCCAAAACTACCACTTCAGAACCAGAATCTCAGGACTTACAGAATCGTGTTATCTGGACTGCAATGGTGGGGGCTAATGAGATCTGTCAGGATCAGACAGTTATTCCACTCTCTGTAATATCCCCCATTACTCTATGGCCTCCATGACCACAGCCCTCAAATTACAGATGGGAAAGCCAAAGCTCAGAGAATCTAGTTGATTATCCCATAGACTGCATGAAGACAGTTGCATTTGTGAACTTACCCTTTATTCTCAACCCAAAAAGCAGGTCTAGCACAGAGTAAGACATCTATAAATATCTGAAGTGTGGGAAGAAAAAAAAGAATCAACACTAATGAGTTCACTTACGATCCATCTTTCCTCCCTAATTTATGATTTTTTTCAGAATAAACAGGCTGGCTTGGGAGAAAGTATTATGGTGGGATAGTTGCTCAAAAAGCACAGAAAAAGACAATAAAACAAATGGGGTGGTGTGGAGGCAGGTATTATGATGGGATGGTTGGTCAGAAAGAAGGGTAGGAAGACAATAAATATATATATACATATATATATATATATAATCATGCTGGTAGTCTGAGGAACAGTGATAAAAACTGCAGATGTACCTTCACCTTAAGCCTAGGCTGGAAAATGTGGAAATGAAGGAAATGAATTCAGCTATGGTCCACTATTGAGGAAAGCTGGGGAGATGAGCTTCTTAGAGTAGTGGGCCCACAACTTGCATCGCTAAAGACCTTCCATCCATCTTCTCCTGACTCTCCAGGACACAGGCACACAGAACCACGGGGGACTGACGATGACTTCTGGGGCCCTACAGGGCCTGTGGCTACTGAGGTGGTTGACAGAGAGAGGAACCTGTACCGGTGAGTGAGCTCTGCCTGGAAAAGGTGACTTTCCCCAGCACACTAGCCACACTTTTCACCTAGTCTCTACCCTGTCTTATACCATCACCAGTGCCAGAGGCAAGGCTAGGACTGGAATACAAACTTTGGGTGCTATAAAGATAGGGGTCTTTTACATAAAAAATTCAGACATTTACAAAACTGGAGAGCACAAAAACTTACCTGACCAATGACTCAACTCCAGCATCATCACGGAGGAGCTATTAATGTAGTCTCTCCGCTATTGCTTAGTTTGCCAGTTGGTGCTATCCTTATAGATCTCTGGAAATCTCACTAGTGTCATCTCTCTCCTCAAACCTATAATGACTCCATCTATTATGGTATCTCTCATCCTGATCTCCTCTATTCTTCCTCCAACTCAATCTTCCTGCTCCCCCATGTCTTCTTCTCCCCTCCTCTTCTCCCCCTCTCTTTTACCTGATTCCCTCTCCTCTTCCCCCCATGTTCCCAACCTACTCAAGAGAGCTTGTCTCATTCCACTTCTCTGGGGTACCATGCATATCTCTTGGGAACCTCCCTGTTTCCAAGACTTACTGGCACTGGGATTATAGGCTGAGACTCCCCTGATCCATGTCTAAAATCCATATATGAGTGAGTACATACAATGTTTGTCTTTTTGTGACTTCACTCAGGATGATTTCTTCTAGTGCCATCATTTGCCTGCAAATTTCAAGACTCCACTGTTTTTTTTTCCGCTGAGTAGCTCTCCATTGTGTAAATGTACCACATTTTCTCTATCCACTCTTCAGTTGTGAGGCATCTAGGTTGCTTCCAGGTTCTGGATATTACAAATAATGCTGCTATGAACATAGTGGAACAGACATCCTTGTTGTATGAATTGCTATATTTTGGGTATATGCCTAAGAGTGGAATTGCTGGGTCTTGTGGTAGACTGATTCCCATTTTTCTGAGGAATCTCCATACTGATTTCCAAAGTGGCTATACAAGTTTGCACTCCTACCAGCAATGGATAAGTATTCCCCTTTCTCCACATCCTCTCCAGCATAAGCTGTCATTTGGTGGTTTTGGTTTTAGCCATTCTGACAGGAGTAAGATGATATCTCAAAGTTGTTTTGATTTGCATTTCCCTAATGGCTAAGGATGTTGAGCACTTTCTCAAGTGTCGCTCAACCATTTTGGAGTCCTCTATTGAGAATTCTCTATTTAGTTCAGAACCCCACTTTTTAATTGGATCCTTTGGTGTTTGGGAGACTTACTTTTTGAGTTCTTTGTAAATTTTGGAGATCAATCCTCTGTCAGACGTGGGATTAGTGAATATCTTTTCCCAATCTGTGGGTTGCCTTTCTGTATTGCTCACTTTGTCCTTTGCCTTACAGAAGCTTCTCAGTGTCAGGTGGTCCCATTTATTAATTGATCTCAGTGTTTGTGCTACTGGTGTGATGTTCAGGAAGCAGGCTCCTGTACCAATTCTTTCAAGAGTACCTCCCACTTTCTCTTCTAACAGGTTCAGTGTGGCTGGATTTATGTTGAGTTCTTTGATCATTTTGGACTTAAGTTTTGTGCATGGCGATAGACATGGATCTATCTGCAGTCTTCTACATCCAGCAGTCATTTTTTTCCAAATTTGTTTCAACTACTCACATTTCTCCTTTGTCATCACTGTCATGGTATTGTGGTTCCAGGACATTAGGTGACTTCACCCCCAAACATTTCACTAGTCCCCTCTGCCCCGTTATTAAGACAAGACCTCGTCTACTATGACCAACTCACCATTACCACATCAACAGAGGTGACGTGTTTCCTTCATTCCATCTACAGTCTGTGCTCAACTTTGCTCATTTTCTGAAATGTGGACTTTCTGCTGGTTATTTTATTCATGGTGTAAATGGCATCTTCCCCTCATTATATTTTGTTTCTTCTGTCTCTTCGATTTTCCTTAAATCTCTGCACTCCTACTTCACTAACTGCCACTGTGTGCCAAGAATCCACTAGAAGCAAAGAGCATGAGGATGCTTACAGCAACACTGGCCTTCAAGAATTAAAGTACCATGAATAATGAGTGATTATATACACAGTCATGTTATCTTCCATAACCTGTTACACTCCTTCAACACTATCACAGTCACTGTCTCAGCTAGAGAAATTGCCACTTTAACTTACTCAAATAGGAAATGACACTTGTCCACCCACCTGTCACCAAACAAGAAGCCTTGAGAAAATCACTGAAGATCTTGATGAAGCACTGTGTCAAGGCCAAGGCTCTATCACTAATATTAGCAGATGTGCCCTTATTTTTGGGAAATGTACTCTGTAACAATATAAACACAAAACCCTGAAGATGAATGTCAGTTGTAGAATCTTACCTACTGTGTACAAGGTCTTAGCTTGATCCCCAGAACTTCACACATACAACACACACACATACACACACACACACACACACTATTTCATCACACTCATCATCATTATAGGAATAGCTAACTGCTCCAGGTGTGTGTTACCTGTAGGTTTGCTCTAGATCACTCATTACTCACAGGTCTATGAGATGGTGCTGTCATTACCCCTATGTACATATGGGGAAACAGATTTGGGGGTTCAAACACTTACTTAATGATCTTCCTATAGACAGCAGAGGAACCAGAACTCAGAGTCATCTGGCTGAAGTCTGCAGTGTCCCCAGCCCTGCACTGGGTCTGAACTCAGCAGATGAGCAGAGCTGGTGTTCACTTATGTCTGCCTCTCTCTCTTCTAGAGTTCAATTCCCTATGGCTGGTTCCTACCACTGTCCCAACATAGGACTCTGCTTTGTGGTGACAAAGGCAGTGACAATCAAGATTGAATTCTGTACCTGGAGTCAATACCTGTATGAGACTCCCTTGCTGAACAGTCACATAGTGGCTGGGCCTCTGTTTGACATCAAAGCTGAGCAGGGAGCTGTGGCTACTGTGTACCTCCCTCATTTTGTGCCTCTCCAAGGTAACCCAGAGAAGGATAGGGAGGAGGGTGGTGATAATGGGAGGAGATGACAGGTCATATAGGACAGTGTAGGATGGTGGGTGATAAGGAAAGGTCTATGATGTCCTAGGTGAGGCAGAACAGATTACAGAGGTAGGCACTGAGATGTTTTGTCTTCCCTGCTTATCTGATGCATCTTTTTGAAGCATGTGTCTCCCAGACTTTTGACTTTATTTCTATTTTACATAAAGTTCCCTAAGTGGAAAGTGATGTCTTGCAACAGTATTAACTGACATCCATTGAGTGCTTTTTTATTTTATATTTAAGTTAGAAACAAGCTTGCTTCACATGTCAGTCCCAGCTCCCTCTCTCTCCCCTCCATGCCTGCTCCTCCCCCACTAGCCTCCCAGTCCCCCACCTAGTCCCCACTCTGTTCACCCAGGGAGGATGAGGCACTCCATGGGGGATCTCTAAAGTCTGTCATTTCTTTCCTGGGAGGGTCTGCACCCTCCCCCAAGTGTCCAGATTGAGAGAGCATTCCCCATTGTGCGATAGGTGCCCAAAGTCCATTTGTGTGCCAGGGATATATACTAATCTACTACTACCCAAAGCACCATAGATTGCCTAGGCCTTCTCACTGACATCCACATTCAGGGGGTCTGGATCAGTCGCATGCCAAAAGAAATCTACAAATTCAATGCAATCAGCATCATAATCCCAGCACAATTCCTCACAGACCTTGAAAGAACAATTCTCAACTTTATATGGAAAAACAAAAGACCCAAGATAGCCAAAACAACCCTGTTTCCAGAGTGTCCGGAGGAATCACCATCCCTGACTGCAAGCTCTATTATAGAGCTATAGTCGTGAAAACAGCTTGGTATTGGCACAAAAATAGACAGGTAGACCAATGGAATCCAATTGAAAACACTGATATTAACCCACACATGTATGAACACTTGGTTTTTGACAAGGAAGCTAAAATTATACAATGGAAAAAGGAAGGCAATTTCAACAAATGGTGCTGGCATAACTGGATGCTGGCATGTAGAAGACTGCAGATAGATCCATGTCTATTGCCATGCACAAAACTATTAAGTGCTTTTTAAACACAATGTCTCTCAAGAACTCAGCTGGAAACCAAGAATAAATAGTGCAATATGAACATACTGATGCAAAAGGAAGACTGAGGAAACTAACAAGATCATTGGGTATCCATGGTCTACCAACACTGTAAGCTATTACACTGCTGCAGGAGGGAGAAAATGACATCAATAGATTCCATCTGTGTGCTGGTGCCACGGAAGAGGGCCTTCCTAAGAAAAGAGGGAGGCTCACAGAGTAGCCCAACCTCAGTCATCTCCAAAGTCTTTCAGAAGATATTTTAATAAATGCAAGGCTACCAGTGAAATGTCTCATATAGAAAGCCATTACTACAGCTCTGTGGAAGTTAAGACAGGATAATTTAGAATTGAAGGGCAGGCTAAACTATACAGCCCAACTGCCTAAAAAGCGGGGGGGAACAACAGCAACCACAAGGAAGCAGGTTTTGTACAACTGGCTACTGAGACTGACTTCTTTCTTGCCTCAAAGAGTTCAGGAGTAAGCCTACCATAGAGACCAGGAGGATCCACCTCACATCAACTGAAGATGGTGCTTGCTCAGGGTATAAAGGTGATGAGCAGCCATAAGAGGTGAGACCCAACAGCTGAAGAAGTCATGAGAGGTAAAACAGAAGCATGGGCTGCTCCAGCCAGTTGAAGAACAATGAATAGAAAACAAGTTAAGCATCCTCTAGGTTAAAAGTAGTCATATTTAATGGAAAGCACACAAAGAGAAAAACTGAAGATGAAGAAGCCAAGGGGGACTCAGTTGAAAAAACAAAACAAACATAAACAATAGTAACATCCACAAACACTCAAGGCCCCGAGCTCTTGACACTGACCCAGGAGCACTGTTCCCCAGGTGGTGCCTTCCTAGTGTGTCTAATGAGGCCAATCCAGCAGATCCACACAGAGTTCCTGGTCTCCCCAACAACACTTGCCCCAGTCACCACTCAAGCTTCTTCTCTGCAGGTCACCGCCTTTTCCGTTTCTTACTCCCACTCTCAGATCAGACGGTTGCCCCACTGGAATGTTGAAAGAAAATGATTGTGTTACAGAGCATGGAAGCAGTAATACATGTAGGAAGGACAGTCACAGGGCCCGGTGGTGGCGCAGGCATGTAATGCCAGAACTGGAAGGCTAAGGCAGGAGAATTATGATTTACATCAACAAATACGTAGTAGTGTCCTGTATCAAAAACCTAAACTGATAAAGAAATGAAAGAACTTGGTGTTTTAAATGTTTTTGTAAACTTACAATTTAACAATGAAAACTCCAGCACCCCACATTCCCCTCAAGTCCTGGGAAGGTCAGGACTAGCATTTATCTTAGTAAGAAGGGAAGATGAACAGGTACAGCATCTTCCTAGATCCTGTCAAAGTTGGCAAAGCACAAAGAATGGATTAGTGCCAGATCTGGAGTTGGGGCTGAAGCTGACGTAGGTAAAGGAAGGGTTTCAAGTCCCCAAACAGGCACACAGGAGACATTTTAGTGCTGGGAGCTCCATCTGAAAAAAATATGTTACCTCTCATCCCTGACTTGGACAGCAGTTGTAATATGTGCTGACAATGGAGAAACACATCCTTGGGTGTTTACATTTGAGGAACAGGGAACACCATCACTTAAGGCTTTCTGCCTTTAACTCAATTTGGATCTTCACAAGATTAAGCCTGTGAAGGACGAGATGTTGCCCTCAAGACAACTTTCCTATTGCCACAGTACCATGTAGCTTTCAGTTCTGTGATGCTGATCTCTAAAAATTACAACTGATTTTTTTCTTAATCAAGGTGAATGTTTCCTGTCTTGGAACTTTTTCTGCCAAAATTAGTCTTTTTTCTTTAAATTCAACTTCACTCACCTTCAGGACATTTACACAATGAAACTATATTCTTAGCCAAACTGTCACATGAATAGTTCCTTTGACTATTCCAAGTAGAAACTGTTACTCTTTGAAAGTGTCATCTTTCCTCTCAGCATTCTTGTCCTCCCTGCTTTCACCAGAATGTCCCCCATGATCTCTGCTCTCAGCATAGAAAAGCCCTAAATACCAAACCCTTCCATATTCCAGATGCAAAACACTTCAAAAGGCCTATGAACCATATGAACAGGTTGATTATAGCAATAACCCAACTCCTGGTATAAATTTTCTATTCAATTTGCTTTATTTATAGCTCAAACAAAATACCTGATCAAAGAAACTTCAGAGAGAAAAGATTTATTTAACCTCACAGTTCAAAGGAGCAGATCATCATGACTTGGAAGTATGAACATGGAGCTTATAGTGCCTGATAAACTTGTGTCAACAATTCTCTATATCCTACATGTAACAAAATCCCTTCCTCTATGGCAGGGACCCTGTTCCCACAATGACCATTAAAGAGTCCAATTTCTAACAGCCTGTGTGGCAAACCACAAGGCAGGAGCAGAGAAGAGAGAATGCTGGTGTCCTCCACCTCACACAGATCTAAATCTTAGTCCATGGATTGAACAGAGGGTAGGTCCTCAAAAATTATTAACCCAATCAACATAATCTTCTATCATGTCCTAAGGCCTGCATCAAAGGTGAATCCAGATTTCATTGAGGTCACATTTCACATTAACCATTCCATGGATGCATCTAGCATTGTCTTCAGTGGACAAAGATAGGTACCCTGTAGTCTCTTTCATAACGCCAAACTCCATTCTGCAACAACATATTAGTGGACACTGCCAATCCTGAGACACCAAGGCTTGAAATGACAACACCTCACTGACAATAGCCTCTGAGGCTATATTCTTTTTAGCATCATGAATGAGATCATCAAGAACCTCCAGTCTACTGTGAATGCTCCCCCAGAAGCTAGACTGGGTCAAAACAAAGCTGCTCCAATGAGACGCACTCAGCAAGAGTCACCACTGGCAGCAGGTCACACTCACCTTCCCAGTGAATTAATGGTGAAGAAATGGTCAATTGGTCTTCTTTGTTCTCACTGGGGACTATAAATAAAACTTAAGGGTTTTTTTTGTTCACTGGTTTTCTCATAACCATCAAAATATAAGTAAATGCTAACAAAAACATCATGACCAAGGAACTTACAGAAGAAATATTTTATTGGGGATTGCGGATTCAGAGGGTGAGTCCACAACCATCCTGGTAAGGAGCATGGCAGGGAGCAGGAAGATTTGGCACTGGAACAGTAGCTGAGAGCTTATATCTTTATCTGCAAGGAGGAGAGAGAATGGAAAATGGAAACAGCACAATATTTTGAAATATTGAAACCAACTTAAGTGACACACCTCCTCCAAAAGAGCCACACCTCCTACTTCTTCCCAAATAGTCCCACCAACTATACTGGCCTTTCCCATTCAAAGCACCACAGTCATTCTAAACCCTAGGGTGCTATTTTTCCAGCCAAGCATGGATCAATGGAAACACTAACTCTGTACCTTTGAATCTGCTCTTTCACAGAGGGAAAAGTGGACACCTCCTTGTTCCATGTGGCTCACTTTCAAGAAGAAGGGATGATCCTAGAAACTCCAGCCAGGGTGGAGCAGCACTATGCAGTACTGGAAAACCCAAGCTTCTCCCCCGTGGGAATTCTAGTGAGAATGATCCCTACTATTGGACACTTCATCCCCATCACTTCCATCACACTGATCTACTACCACCTCAATCTCAAGGAGGTCACCCTTCATCTGTACCTGATCCCCAACGACTGCACCATCCGGAAGGTGATGCTGAGGACCACAAAAGTGGGGCCAGGGTGGGTAGACAGAGAACCTGAGATGCAGCTGGGGAGCCCCTTGGAGAAATTCCCCACATGGAGTGGGTAAGCAGTTCTATAAAGAGAACACTGGTGTTTATAATTATGCTTTCTTCCTGCCCCCCTTACACCAGAGTCTCCCCCAACTGCCTTTACTGCTCCTTTATCTCTGCACAGCCACTTTCTTGTCAATCAGAAAGATGGGAATTCTCTATATCCTACATGTAACAGAATCCCTTCTTCTATGGCAATGACCCTGTTCCCACAATGACCATTAAAGAGTCCAATTTCTAACAGCCCGTGTGGCAGAACACAAGGCAGAAGGTACCAATCACCCACAAATGTAGTGATCAACCACCTCACCTTATTCAGACCAGATAGATGTTGTAGATCAGAAATCTACCTAATCGCTGTCAGCAATGTTCCCTAGGCCATTGATGAAGAGGAAATGAAGTTTCAGTTTGTTCGAATACACAAGCCACCCCCAGTAGACTGTCTTTATGTGGGCTCACGCTACATTGTGTCTGCATCCAAAGAGCTGAAAATCATCCCAAAGGTGAGCATCCAGGTGTTTGCTACTCTTCAGGGTCAGATGCCAGACTTGAGAAACCTGTGGGGCAGGTACAGGGCTTCGCAGAAAACTGAGATTGGGGAGAAAACTACTGGGATTTGGGATGAGTAAGAATACATCCCAGTTAGGGGGAAAGCAACTTAAGGGACCACACAGGAATACAGATGGCCAGGGGATTTGAGGAATTAGATTCATTTGGAACAGAGAGGGGACAAAACATGGACAGCAAGCCCTGGCTGAAGACGCATGAGCAGGACCTTCAGGATGAGCTCACCCTCTTCATGGTTTGAATCTGAAATGTCTCCTGCTGGTATAAATGCTAACAGTTGAATACTAGTTAGTGATAGTATTCAGGGAGTTGTGGAAACAAATATGTGAGGCCTGACCAACAGAGGCAGATCACTAGTGATAGGCCTTGGGTGGCTACAGCCATGTCCTGCTCTGCACCTCAGACTTGGATTCCTGATCCTCTGGGTTATAACAAGCTGTGCCACAAACTGCTGCCACCAAGAATGGAGCCCCAGCTTATGTATCTTCCCCACCATAAAACTTAACAACATAATTTACTTCCTTAGTTGCTTCTTGTCACATTTTTGTCAGAGTGATGAGAAAATAACCAGCGAGGTGGGGGTCACCCCTGGGTCCATAAGCATTTTCCATATCTTCTGCTGCTACATTCTTTCTGTGTCCTCTTCCACAGTGTTCCAACCTTCTGAGTAACGGTGTGCATTCAAAGGCTGTGCATTACCTCAGTGCAAAAGACAGCCAGAGTCTCATGTGGTGTACAAGATCAAGAAAGTATGGGGTGTGAAAAGCACTTGTTCATGTGAGTAGAGGCTTCTCACACAATTTCTCCCTCTCTCTCTTTCTCTCCCCATCCCTTTCCCTTCCCCTCCCCTTCCCCCTCTCCCTCTTCTTCACTGTCCAGGAACTAGAGCTCTGCTACAGGAGCCCTGGGGAATCCCAGCTCTTCTCTGAGATCCACGTTGGTCACATGGGTTCAGAAATTAATCTGCAAATCAGAGACAAGAAGCATAAGAATCTCATTTGGGAAGCCTTGCTGAAACCAGGTAAAATTACTTGAGATCCAGGTACCCAAAAGGTTGAAGAAAGGCAATGAGTGGGTAAAGGTGTATGTCATTAATTCTTGGTGTCATGAAATAGCCAGATTAGTTATGTGGATTTTTGATTGGGACTGCACTGATTATGTGCTATGTTTTTAATAGGGTGGCTATTTTCACAATTTTAATTCTTCCAAACAATGAGCATGGAACAAGGAATGTCTTTTCATCTTCTAAGGCCTTCTTCAATTACTTCCTTTCATATATATCTTCAAGTTTTTCTTATGGAGTGTTTTCATTTCCATGGGTATATTTCTGTCCCAAAATTTTGTATTTTTATTTATTTTATTGTTGGCTAGTAGTTCGTTCATATTTTCAAGCTTTTAAGGACAAGAGAAAACCAAAGAATGAAAATTTCTTTTTTTCTCTCTTTTTATTCTAGAGACAATCTTATTTTACATATCAATCCCCCCCATTCCCTTGCCCTCCCATCCTCCCATACCCCCCATAGACCCTCCAACCCACCCCCACCCACTCCCAGGGATAGTGAGATCTACCAAGGGGGATTATCAAAGTCTGTCACATCATTTGGGGAAGGGCCTAGGCCCTCTTTCGTGTATCTGCACTCCATAGGGAATGGGCTCCCAAAGTCCATTTGTGCACTAGGGATAAACACTGGCTCCTCTTTCTTAAGTGAAATAACAGTACAGTCTTAGTCTAACAACCACAATGCCAAAACCAAGTTCCCCTTATCAGAGTATCTGGAGATGCCCATCCCTAGTCAGCTGTCAAACAGTGGTGATTCCTACTTCTGAGCTTCTAGAAACAGACTACACATGTGGTTAAATAATAGGCTTTGCTCAGCCTTTGCCTGAATGAGCCACCAGTGGAGAACTGACCTGACCCAACATCAGGCCAGAATTTGAATCTCACTCCAGCATTTACTCTTCAACCAGTCTTGGAAAATGACTTACCTCATTTGAGTGTGACCTTCCTCAACTGTAAATTGAAGATCAGAATGAATAACTGGTAGGATTAGTGGAAAGGTTAAATACTGTTCATACCCACCTCATAGTGTGATCCTTAGCTTAGGGGCAATGTTGCAATTTTTCTTTATTAGCCAATATCTTCCCATGATTTTGTTAATTCTATTCTTTGAGACTCATTAAGATCTATTCCCTTCCAAGAGGGAAAGAATTAAAATATGGAAGACTATAATCATGCCACTCTTTGTCCCCAAAGATTTTTAAATTCATTGCCACTCAATAACTTTCTTCATTAGATGCTCCAGTTTATCTACAAGTATGGATGCACCAAGATGGTCCAGCTAGCATAGAGTGTAAGAAATATCATCCTTCCTTCATACAAATGGAACCAGGGCTTCCAATACTACAAACTGGATCTTTGGGATGACTTTCCTAAACTGTTATAGCACAGTGAATTTAGAGTCTTGTCTTCTCAAAGCCCTGGGGCTTATACATGAGCTGAAGTATACTTGATGCTAAAATGCACTCACTGTCCCCATGATTTCAGTCTTGCTTCATATTGATTCTGCCCTCAAATCAAGAACACACATTGTGGCATGTGGGTGTACGAGGCCAAACAAAGACAAGAAAATAGTTTTACACCCAGAATCCAATGTCAAATGATTTAAGCCAACAAAGGACTTGGTTAGTTCTTCACAGGGAACACAGTCTAGGATAAATTGAGGCTGTGATCATGTGGGATAAATGTCTATTGCTCAAGCAAATACCTTCTCTCTCAATGATAATAGGCTTGGCGCTTAGATTCCCTGTTAGTAAGAAAACGTTCATTTTTTTCTCACAGCTCTTTGTTAATGATAAGTGATATTAATTCAGTTTTAATAGAATGTGGGTCTCATAAAAAATGAGTTATAATTTACATCTATTTCTGCAGATCTTCATTGTAGTTTTCTTCCTTTATGTACTTGCTTTACTTTTTTGTTTTTTTTTTTCAGTTTAAATTTAGATTAGAAACAAGGTTGCTTCACAAGTCAGTTCCAGGTCCCTCTCCCTTTCCCTCCCCTCCTCCCGTGCCCTCCCCCAAACCCCCCCAATATCCCCTCATTTCCCCAGGGAGGGGGAGGCCCTCCATGGGAGTATCCATAGTCTGTCATTTCATCCAGGGCAGGGCCTAGACCCTCCCCCAAGAGTTCAGGGTGAGAGTGCATCTCACATTGTTGGATGGGAGTCCAAAGTCCGTGTGTATACTCGGGATGAGTACTGATCTACTGCCCAAGGCTCAATAGATTACCTAGGCCTCCTCACTGACACCCACATTCAGGGGGTCTTGATCAGTCCGGAAACGTTCATTTTCATGATTATATGAGAATTTCTGAAGCTCATTCTCAAAATCTCAGGCACAGGAGAGGGGGAGTCACAAAGATACTGAGTGTTGGTGACAGGCATCATACAGATGCACCATCTCTCCTTTCTTCCAGGGGACCTCAGACCTGCACCACCCACGATCCATGAAACCCACAAAGGTAACAACTATATGGACAGATAAGCCAATAGTATTCTGTATTCTGCTAGTAGATCATCAGATCCTTGAGAGAAGGGCAGTGAGAAAGGGGGAGTCTCACTTTGCAAACCTCACCAGGACAAGTAGGAGAGGTGAATGCCCAGGGCAGAGTTCCTCTCATACCCCTTGCTGCCTCCAATTTGGAAATACTTCCACCCACTCCCAAAATGAACACCCCACCAAGAACACCTCCTCATGGTTAGGCACCATGTCAGACTAATAGCTGGCCTCAGGAAGGTACAGATATTTTTTCCTATGACCTTCCAGAGGAAGAAGGGAGCCAAGGGTGCAGATGAGATGCCTGAATAGAACAAGAAGTGGGCAGCCAGTGGGAGACCTGGAGGAGTCTTTCTATGCTCAGTGCCAGTCCCGACTTCACCCCTAGATGCTCCTGCCTCACTACACTTACTGGACCAGCATCGGGAGCAGCTGGTGGCCAGAGTGACATCCGTGGACCCTGTCTTGGACAAGCTGCATAGTCGGGTGCTGAGTGAAGAGGAGTATGAGGCAGTGCGAACTGAAGCCACCAACCAAGACAAGATGAGGAAGCTCTTCAGCCTCAGCCAGTCCTGGACCAGGACCTGCAAAGACCAAGTCTACCGAGCTCTGAAGGAGACCCATCCTCACCTGATCATGGACCTTCTTGAACAGTCAGGAGGTCTCTCTGTGGGATCCTGACATCTTAGTGGCTGAGGGGTGAGCACTCTCCCGTGAGTCCTGGCTCTGCCTGGCTTTCCTTTGGCCTTAAGTTTAAATATATAAAATATATAAACCAGTGCCCATCTGAGTTGCCTTTCTGGGAGCACTGTTTTCAAGGCACCTCTTGGGGATCCTCTTGGCCCTCCCCAGCCAGATGTTCATGTGGGATGATCATCTCAGAAAACATCCAGTGGAGCCAGAAATTATAGTCAGGCCTTGTTCAACCTGCTCTTTTGGCAGAGTTTGTTTTCAATTATACAGGGTTGCTTATAAATGGTAATGATCATAGTCAATCTCTTTCTAAAAGGAAAAAGGGGAATATGATATTAAAATAACTACTTTGTCTTGAATGGATTTTCATTTATTGATACAAATTTAAGGTCAATTTTGTGATATGTATATTTCTTCTCTTGTTTAAGTGTTGTGTTTATACTGTTCTTTTTAAAATGTAATGTATAATTAAATACAGATTCTAGATAGTTACCTATAATAGGCAGAACTTATAATTAGGTTAGTTAGGCTTTCTAGGTGTACAGAAATATATTTGAGATAGATAGTCTACAAACCTTTCAAAGACCTTCAAAAATGACATTTAAAATGGCTTAGGGTTTTTCTTGACAATGGGAAATGTCTGCTCCTGGCACACCAATTACATCTGAGAGGAAGATGGGCATCAAAGAAACTCGTTACGGAGTTTGCTTTCAACATGGCAAGATTAGCCATTTGGACAAGAAACTGTTCTTGTCTGGACTGTTTGACTGTTGCTGTATAAAATGAACATGCAGTACCCACAGGAAAGTGACTGCTAAACTTAAATAGTCCTACAGGGTTCCTGCTTCATGGAAGAGTCTGCCAGACATTCTACAGGACACAAAAAAATGACTAATAAACTGCCAATGCTGGTGGACTGTTTAAAATTTCCTGCTTTGCTGAGCAATCTTCCAGACACACTGTGGCCTATGGGCTGAAGACGGATGCCCCAACATTACAGAAGAACTTCTGGTGACTGTCCAGGTAGCAAGATGTCTCTGTCAATTCTAGTGTGTGTATATTATCCTTCTGTGGTCTTTGATGAGTTAAATACAGATAGTGATAATCATAGTTTTCCTTAGTTATGATAAAAGATAAGCTACATGTAAGACTTTAGAATCACACAGATAGGATAGATGATAAAATACTTTCTTTAAATCTTACTAAATGTTAATGGACTAAATATTGTAACTATAGTTCTTACTCGATAACTGTTCTGTTATATATAATTTGACTATGTTAAAGTTAAAACCTTTCTTTTTATTTAGACAGAAAATAGGAGATGATGGGGGGAGTCCTTCTGTGTATATGTAAATAAAGCACTGTTGGCCAATAGGAAAACAAGATAGGTGGGACTAGGAGTCTAGGAGGATTCTGGAAAATGTAGTGAAGAGAGTCGTTGTGATGTGATCCCTGGAGGAGAGAACAATGCAAGTCTGGTGTTCTCAAAAAGATAAGTCCTTATAAAAATATATATTAGTGATTATGGGTTAATGATTTAAGTCAGAGCTAGCTGATTAGAAACCATAAAAAAAATCAGCCAACAGCTTCATAATTATTATAGTGTCCTGTGTGTTATTTGGGGGCTAAAGCAGCAACGGGACCCAGGCAGGAATCCCAGACAGGACAGTGAAGAGAGGTCACCACAAAGGGTCTGCTGTAGCACTGGGGATGAGACTGGCAGATTGGAACCAGAAGAACAGAAAAAAAGAGGAAAATCTATAGACAGCATGCCTGATTCCCTGGCAGGAACAGCCTGTGGGTTATCAGGGGGTGCCTACTGGAATTGGGGGCTGGGATAAAGCAATAAGTGGGAAGAGAGGGGTTGGGAGGGGAAGGCATGTGGGATGCACAGGAGATGTGGGCAGAGGGGGAAGGAAGCATGCAACAGGTGCTCTAATTGCAGAGGTAGGGATGAGACTGGGGGATTGGATTTGGAGATGAGGGAGTGTTGAAGGTCTTCAGTTAGCTTACCTGTTTTCCTGGCCTACTCAGCTTGCTCTACCCAGTAGATCTGGTCCTGCCACTCAAGGGAGAGCTGGCATTGATGGAGGCTGGAGAGATGGTCCTGGTAGACTGAGCACAGGAGAGCTGGTCTCACCCCTCGATGTCCCTGTGAGAACTGGTCTTGCCTCTTATCTGGAGCTACAGTGGGAGATCTTCCCCACTGTCATGGGCTCCTGAGAACTGACCCCCTATGGCAGGGGTTCAGGAGAGATGGCTCCACCCATTCCTGGCAGCCATTATTTCAGGCAAGGGAGGTCTGGCTCTGACTCTCACCTGAGAAGGTGGGGTCCCTGCAGAGGCCCAGACTGACCAACTCAGCTACCCCCGCAGGCCTGCACCCAGGGCTTGAGATGAAGCAACCCAACATCTACCCCACCCATGGCCTTCTACAGCAGGTGAAGGGACATGTCTTGCCAAACCATACAGCAGGATCTCCATAACTTGGGGCAACAGCACCACATCAAAGAGGAGTTTCAGTGAGGGTCCAATACTGATGGTATAACAGAAGCCATAGGCCTTGAACCATCAACTCATTGCAATGAACACTTCCCAGTAAAGCTGTTTGGACATAAGGGTCTACTGTGTGACATACCACAGATCCCAATAATCCTGAGATGGATGAAGAGGTGATGGAAAGGCTGGTGATGGAGGACCTAAAGGGTTTTTTCTTCTTTTTTGCAGTGGGGAGACACAAAGATGAAGGGCAGACATAGAAAGACTGGGAAATGTGTGAGATTGGGGTCCATGATATGAAATTCCCAAAGAATCAATAAAAATTATGTTAAAAATACTTTAAATCTTCAAAAAATGGGGTACAAATCTAAACAGAGAACTCTCAATAGAGGAATTTAAAATGGCTGAAAATGCTTAAAGAAATGTTCAACATCGAAACTACTTTGAAATTCCATCGTACATCTGTCAGAATGGCTGATTTCAATAAAACAAGTGACAGCTCATGCTGGCAAGGGTGTAGAATAAAGAAAAAACTCCTCTATTGCTGGTTGGAGTTCAAACTTGTACAGACAATGTGGAAATCAATAAGGCAGTTCACCAGAAAGATGTAATTGATCTATCACAAATTCAAGATATACCACTCTTAGGTTTGTGCCCGAAGGATGCTTCATCCTTCCACAAGGACATTTGCTCAACCATGAGACATTGAAGCTTAACTCATAATAGACAGGAACCAGAAAGAACCTAGATGTCCCTCAACAGAAGAACAGATAGTAAAAATGTGGTACAGTTACACAATGGAATATAACTCATCTGTTAACAAATGATATCAAATTTATAGGCAAGTAGATGGAACTAGAAAAAAAAATCATTCTGAATGATGTAACCCAGACCCAGAAAAATGTATACAGTATGTATTCACTTATATGTCGATATTACCTGTTAAATAAATGATAACCAACCTAAAATTCATAGAAGAGGTACAGACACAGAGACCCTCAGCCAAGCATTACACAGAGAGAGAGAGGCCTTGCAACACTCAGCTCTAAATGTGGTATCTCTATTAAATCCCTCCCGAAGAGCTGGGGGAACACTGCAAAGGATGAAGTGGAAAGAGTGTAAGAGCCAGAGGGGATGGAGGACACCAAGAAAATAGGCCCTGTGAATCAACTGAGCAAGGCTCATATGAATTCACAGAGACTAAAGCAGCAGGCACAGGGCTTAAGTGTGCACCAGGTCCTCTGCATACATATTTTGTGTAAACAAGTTGGTCTCTGATTCTTGTGTCTTTTCTTGGGCCTCTTTTCCTTCTGTTGGTTTGCCTTACTCAACTTAGATGCAACGTGCTGGTTTTTTAATTTTAGAAACAACCTTATTTTACATATCAGTCCCCTATTCCTTCACCCTCCCATCCTCCCATGCTCCCCACCAACCCCCCCAACCCACTCCCCACCCACTCACCAAGGATAGTGAGGCCCGGTTTTTGTTTTATCTCTTATGTTTTGTTTTATTTTATTGTTATCTCTTAGATGTAACGTGAGTTTTCTCTGGCCCAGCTAGGTCCCACTGCCCTTCTGTGCCCCAAAGAAACATGCAGACACCATATTAGTTATAAGCTGTTGGCTGATGACTTGGGTTTCTTATTCTTAACCCATAACTATTAATCTTTTTCCTCGTGGCCTTATCTTACCAGAAAAAGGGTCCAAGCCTCTTATTCCATTGGGGTCTACATAGTGTCTGTTCTGCATCTCCGAAGAGAAGAGAAGAGAAAGAGAAGAGAAGAGAAGAGAAGAGAAGAGAAGAGAAGAGAAGAGAAGAGAAGAGAAGAGAAGAGAAGAGAAGAGAGCAATTTCCTGCTTGTCCCTGCTTATATACTAATTCTGCCCTGCTACATTACTTCCTGCCTGGATCACATGGCAACTCCTCTTTACTACATTTCTCGGAATCTTCCTCGACTCCTAGTCCACGTATACTGCTTCTTTATTGGCCAACAGTACTTTATTCATTAACCAATAAGACAAACATATACACAGAAGAACATTCCCCATCTCTTAGAAAGCTGTTTTTTTCTAATGAAAAACAGGAAGGGGTTGGATATGGAGGAGGCTGGAGAAGGAATTGAGAGGACTAGGGGAGAGGAAACCATTCTCAGGGTATATTGTAAGAGAAAATAATATGTTTTCAATAAAAGGAAAAATATTGAAACACATAAGAAACATTTTAACCTCAAATTTTTTACATAAAGCTGTATAAATATAATTCAAACATTTTTCTAAAAATAAATCTTAAAGAAATGTATTTTAAACAACTCTGCTGTAATATAATTTTAACAAAAGATATATAATTTTAACAAAAATTGAAAACAGATTTGCAAACTAATGAGATAGATGTAGTTGATTATTTTGTATGAGGATCTAAATCTTGGTTGAATACTTGATGCTGTAGATATAGGGAAACTTCAGTGTCTCTCAGAGTTGGTGGATTTTTGTATCCCTCATACTTTACACAGACATGCAGTGCACATTCCAGAAGCTAGTGGAAATTCTGTCCTAACCCCAAGCCAAAATACACTTAGCATCTCTTTGTGAATCTCAAGTCAACAACTCTAAACATAAATGTGTAAAACTGAATTTTCCCATAAAACAATGCAAAGATATTGTAACTTGATACAAGCTAAAGAACAAACATAGTAAAATATTTAAATCTTTATAATCCATAATGAAGCTATCATTTATTCCATAAGAGCAGAAAATCATGCATGTGCTGAAAAATGCTGTAACTGCAGCAAACAATAGCCTAAACTCTAAGCCACACTGTTTCAGGAGAATCATAGGGGTTGTGTGGTGTACTTGATCATGCAGAGCAAAGAACTCATTCTGTGTGCTCAGAACCAATGGTGTAAGGAAGTCATGTGATGAAACATGGTACACAGTACAGAAACATGTGGTGAAGTTTTGTTTGTGCTTTAGCAAATAGAGCTTGCCTGAAACTAAGAGTGCAGAGCCATAGAGGCCAGGCTGTGGTGGCACACGCCCTTCATCCAGGTACTCAGGAAGCAGAGGCAGGTGGATTTCTGTGAGTTCAAGAAAGCCTGTAGAAAGAGAGAGGGGGGAGGGAGGAAAAGGAACTATGTACAATCTTAAAATGGGGGCAGACATAGGCTCTGTGTTAAAGAGCACTTGGTGCTACTGCAGAGGATTGGAGTTCTATTTCCAGCACCCACATTAGACAGATGCATATTCAAAAACACATGCACACACATTCACACACAGACACACAATTGTTTTTTTAATTTTTATAAAACAATGACAAAATGGGACTCCCTACAGATCACCTATCTGCCAGAGTAGAACCTGGGGCTCAAGCTGTGTGTTTGCCAAAATGATAGGCCTGCCAGTCTCTTCCCCCAGGCCACCTGGCTTCCCTCTGGATCAAGCTACTGTTCCCCTCTGCCAATCCCAAGGCCAGAATTGTTAGCCTGGCTTCTTGGTGCCTCCCATCTTCTCCTCTGGACTCTGCAGGTG